AGGCAAGGGTATCGGACTTTTACGCGATCGTAAGATCGAGGGTCGCATCATTTTGGAGTCGCGTTAACACATCACCGAATCTCATAGTGCAAACTTTCTCCGAGTACCTAAGCAATCCCATTTTAAGGAACTGGGCAAAAGTGCACGCTGACAGCAACCGCAAATAAACAGTAATGTAACTAATTAGTATTATTATTAGTTTTCTCATTTTTATATGACATATTTGTAAGATGTGGGTTTGTACCTGAATAAAGAATTATTATTATTAAAAAAAAAAACGACGAGATCTACATAATATACCGCCATAGACAAGCCTTTTATTCAATCCAGGCATCGAACACTGGACCTGAAGCAACTAATTACATCGCTTTGCACTACGATAGGTCCGGGATATTGTGTTGTTACGTCACAGCTGTCAAGCGATGCTCTATCAATTAATTAGAACCGATTCACTATGGACAAATGAAGATAGATAGTAGTTCCTAATAGATTAGGTAGCTTAGCTAATTAACGGTTTAAAACGAACGAAAATATGCTTTTTTAATAAAAGAGAAGAACAAGCATGTGGTTGATTTGGTGGTAGGTGAAATACCCCCAGCTATTAACATCTTAACGTGATGCGCTGTCGGCCTATTATAGCTAACTATTCAGAAATCTACAGACTGAAACCCAAACACGATTAACCTTCACGGCATTTTCATTTGACATTGAATTTAAATTTTCCTACCTATTACAGATAGGCAAGTGAAACGGACAGAGAAAAATGTCCGTCCCTTGCCCCGAGGGAAAAGGAATTTTACTATAAATTAATACACGGTACTTCTTGAGCATAACATGATGTTACAATTATATTTTAATAAAGTTGTAAGCCATAGGTCTTTAAGAAAAAAATATTACTTTGAAAATATATAATGCTGTCTAAAGTTTACGCGAGTGGTACACATTTAAATAAAACACTTTAACGGTTTTAAACGCGATATATTAGTTAAACTTATTTGAAAATGTTTTTTAACTTCGGCCCGACGTTTCGTGACCCCAGTCTTCCCGTGACCACGGTTACTGCAAAGCATCCAAAACGTCGAAGTTAAAAATCATTTTCAAATAAGTTTAACGAATTAATCGCGTTTTAAACCGTCAAAGTATTTTATTATTTTTATTATTATTTATCTTATTTGAAAATTAATTTTAACTTCGGCCCGATGTTTCGGATGCTTTGCAGCAGCCGTGGTCACGGAGAGACCACAGTCTCCCCGTAATAAGTTTAACTAATATATCGCGTTTTAAACCGTTAAAGTGTTTTATTTAAATGTGTACTACTCGCGAACTGTGGACAGTATTTAAAACTTCGACTTAACTACTACTGACACTAAAACCACTTTTCAGGTATAAAAAATTGTGTTATTACAACCCTATTATGAATAAATAGAGGAAAGATTTTATTACCCAGCTATTGTCTTGCCGAGCCGTAAATCAAGGAAACGCTCCTCATAATAGAATAAAATGAAAAATCGTTTGTAAATAAAAGTGTCATTGCGAGCGAGTCGAGTGCAGTCGCACCTGCAGGCTCTGGAGAGTTCCCAGGCGTATTACCGGGACACGCTAAACGCGTAAGGATATGCCCACGTTCATGAGCGTAGCGATTTATTGAGGGCTTTAAATAGATTCGAAAAGTTTAATATTTTTCACATGATCGCTTATATACTATAAATTAAAAAATGATACGAAAAACGAGACAAAATTGGGCGGTATTTGTACCGGCCTCCTTAGCTATCCGTGCTGTTGCTCTAACCAATTGCGCGAGAGGTGCATGTATTAATAGGTTGAAAAAATTCGACGATCTTTAAATCCAATAACATATCCAAGTGTCTTACTATATCCATATTTTTTGCTCGTTAATGTAATTGTGGCAATGTAAAGCTAACAATCAACAAACACCGAATCCAAGACATTTCTTAGCAATTTATACGTTTTCTAAAACATGTAGGACAGCATGTTTTGAAATCAGAACATTAAATAGGTGGTAGGATGGGGATATTCTGTCCGTCCGGGTTACGAACCATCATCCACAGGTGGATTATATGACATATTAAAATTAAATAAAAAATAATTTTGGTAGCTAGATACACTTTTAACCTAATACAGTTAAAACGTATAACTTAAATTTGAACGAACGAGAACAACTGGTAAGATACTCGCCGCCACTATTTTATAAATTCAAATATACTACGCATTATTTTAACAGTTGACGTCAATATGCTGTGACTCGACGAATCAAAGTTTTTTATAACAGCGAATACAACCGCTTTCGCTCGTGTTGTGCTATCTATACTAAGTCAGCTCCTTGATTTTATATACTTCTAAGAAGGATTTTTAAATTCCCGTAAGAGGCAATAATCCAATGTGTTTTTGAGCTTTCTCTACATATTTTGTGAAGCTAAGTTTAAGTATTTTTAATATTTAAAAGAAGGTTTACACCTACTGCCTGTCCGAATTTAGAAATAATTCGTAAAAAAATACCTAATATATTTCGCGTTTTAAACCGTTAACTCAAAATCGTTTATACATTGAAAAAAAAATTCAACTCGGACAGGACTCGAACCGGGATCTTCAGCGTTCCATGTCCTAACCAATCGAACTACCGAGTCCTACACGTCAATTGGTTAGAGAAACAACACAGAACGCTGAGGTTCCCGTTTAAGTATTGCCCATGTCGTAAATTTTTACAATTTATAATCGATTTCTAATTTATATAGTGCCATCTCATGTGAAAAATACTAAAGATTTCAAACATTAAAAGTGTTTTATTTTAATAAGTTTATAATATTCACATTTCTAATTAATTTTTTTAAAGTGCGTAAATATTTACGTCAATTCCATTACACTAGTTTAAGACCACTGTTATTTAAAAATTCTAGCAAGTCCGTACCGTACGTAAGTCTGAGGCAATTTTTAAATGAAAACCACTGTGGTATGGTCTCATCTAGGTAAAAGCCCGGATGAGCTTCTGCGGTCGGTCACTGCGAGCACAAAATCCACTTTATTTTGCCAAATCTTAGGTCAGAGGTATAGGCACTCATAAAGTAATTTGAGCAAAAGAATTAAATAATACAGTAACTAAACGCAATTTTAAAATCGTAATCAAAGATAGTAAGTTACTCTAATCATCAGCGTTCCGTGCTTTACCATTTGAAGGGCTAGTTATTATTTCCTTAAGAAAGTTATGATCAACCTTCATATTTCCGCGTTTGAATCCGTTATTTTTTTAAATCAAGCGTTAATATTAAAGTATTATGAAAACATAATTCCAATTTAATAATAATAAGAGGCAAACACAGCTTACTTCCTAACAAAAAATATTGTTTTACTAAGTATATAATACATGTACAAATTTTTTTTTTGGGTTACTGTAATATACATTTACTTCGAGTGATTACTTATTCAAATTTTTGTTTTTATTTACTAACTTTACAAAGCAATTATTAAATATACCAGAACTATAAGCATTGGTCTACAATATTTCAAACCGAATTAAAACGCAATAGTTCATTTTTCAATAACATAGGCCGGTTTATTAGGACCATTTTGTTGGGCGCCATCTTGACGTGACGTCATCAGTCATATCGACAGAGGCAATTATTCAAACTGACACCACATAAGACTACATCAATCTTTGCTAACAACGTACGTACATGTACATTATTTTACGGGACTAAATGCCGAGCGAGTGAGGAATAGTTTTTATTAATTGAAAATCTATTTGTGTTGAAAAAAATTATGACACGGGCGTGACTTGTTCCAGCTACCCTGTACTACACGTTATCGACGCATGTTTTCGTCTTTTTAATACAGGAACCCGTTGCGCTTTGTATTTACGATCTTAACACTTTAGTACTGAGGTTCAAGTCCCGCACGTGGCGTTAATGTTTTGTTTTTCAATTTAAATAGATTTTTAATTTTTAATGAAATTTAAATAAAACACCTTAATGACACAAAACACGATATAGATTAGTTAAACTTATTTGAAAATTATTTTGACTACGGCCCGACGTGTCGGATGCTTTTCAGCAGCCATGGTTAAATAATTTTCAAATAAGTTTAACTATTATATATCGCGTTTTAAGCCGTTGAAGTGTTTTATTTAAATGTGTACTACTCGCGTGAACTAGAGACAGTGCTCTTCGGCCGAATATTTATTTTATTTTCCCGTGATTCAAACCACGGTTAGGCAGACGTCTAACCAATTTCCTTAGGTTATTTCAATAGCAGTCAAATAAGTTTTCGTATAAAAGTTTGAACTTTAACGACTGTACCAGTTAGCGTAACGCGTTATAACGTAAAATTCAAGAAGCTATTGGAATTTATTAGACCTTTCTCGCTAACGGCTAACTGTGCCATCGTTCCATCTGATGGTAAAGTAGTGTAAGAGACGACGACTAAATTGGATCCAATAATATATGAATAAATAAATGTATTTAAAACAATACAATCGTCGATTAAAAATCGCAATTATTTTTTTTTATATGGGTTGTTATGAAATTGGATATATTCCGTATATTGTTAAGCCAGTACTTGTTTTTTAAAGGCAAAGAGGGTCAGACAATCATAAGGTTTTTTTGATTGATGGTGGTTGATATCGACCTATTTTATATTTCTACATTTGTAAAACCCACAGACTGAAACCAAAAGACTTTAACTTCACGGCTTTTTCATCTGTGGACAGTGTTGCGTGTCCCGGACGGAACTTTCGCTATTTACCAAATTACTAGACATCATAAATTTGGAAACGTTACGTTTGATACGGTAAGGATCAAACTACGTCGTGTCTAATAATTGACATACGTTGCTACCATCAGACCAATGAGCCCGTCCACTGTTATATAAAAATACAAAATTAAATATAAAAAAGGGAAAATATTGATTTTTATAAGCAAGCTCTTAGACTAAACCTCAATCCCCAAGCGGAAATTAGCGTACATTTCATTACGCTCCATCGAAACCGTTCACTTTGCGGTCGGCTCCGTGTTTTCCACATGCTCTTGCCATTTAGCTGGCCATCCAGCGACTGGCGTCTGACTCTGAGGTTTGATTTGAAAATTGCAGACTAAAAGCTCTAAAAACGCGTAAGAAATACGTTAGTCTGAGAGAAAATTAATAGTAATGACTCACCTGCCCAGGGCCGTATTTCAGATTTATTATTTCCAATTATATTTTTATTTTTGCTAAATATACAAGAATCTATGTGCTTTTACAAAGAATTGTATAGGTAATACAATATTGGAGAGAAAGATTTTAACAGGATATGGGATAAGAGATATTAATCGACATTCCGTCCGGGTCACGAACCACCCTCCACAGATGAAAATGCCGTGAAGTTTAATCGCTCTTCGGTTTCAGTTTGTTCTTCATCTTCTATAGATGTTATATGGCTAGGGTATTTTACTTACCATCTGGTGAACTCCGTCCTTGTCTGCCTCCTATATCATAAAAAAAACTTGTAATTGGAACGGTATGTCACGACAGTATGTCTATATTTTAAGATTAACTTGCTATCTATAAACTAATCTAACGATCTATCTAACGATTTGCTATCTATATCTATGATAAAATAAAAAGCTGAAAAGTTTGTTTAAACGCGCTAATCTCAGGAACTACGGGATTGAATTGAAAAATTATTTTTGTCTTGGTTAGAGCATTTATCGAGGAAGGCTATAGAAACAAAGATATAGCGTGAATAGTGAACACAGCGGGGAATTTTTTTCATCTCTGTGGGTTTCAGATGTGTACGCTGCGAAAACGGTTCAAGACACCCAACAATTTATAAATTCAATAAAATTTATTCGTTGCTTTGTCTTATTCTTCTATTATGAAAATTAGTTAGATATAACTATTATATTTTAGTTATAACTTATTCTTAACAAACGCAACTACATATAATATGACGGAGAAAAAAAATTGTATACGTGACACATAACAAGCCAACGCGAGCCAATTTAATGTAACTCGTTAAAAGTTGAACCGAGGATTGTGTACACAAAAAAGTTTACAGCCAACAGTGAACCACCTACTTTTCAATGAAAATGTGGTATATGCACTTACGCCTTTTTACTTTTGCGACATAGATGATATCTACCGAAGGTCTCTACGGCTCAGATTGTAAAATAAATGTTTTGTTTGAAAATAAAATAATAACATTTCAAGCAGATGTCAATATTATAAGCAATAGATATTAGAAATGCGATCCACATTTAAATAAAACCCTTTTAACGGTTTAAACGCGAAAAATACTGCTGCATGGTCACAGTGGGGCTACAGCTGCTTCAAAGTATCCGAAACGTCGCGACGGTCCGTAGTTAAAATAATTTGTAAAAAGATTTAACTTATTATTTTCCTTTAACATCTCGATTCAGCCGTTCAGTGTCCACTGCTGGACATAGGCCTCCCCCATAGACTTTCAGTACGACCGGTCGTTCGCTAATTGAATCCAGCGTTTCCCTGCTACCAGGTCGTCGGTCCACCTGGTAGGAGGTCGTCCAGGTTTTCGACGTCCGGTACGTGGTCTCCACTCCAGAACCTTTTTTGCCCCAACGGCCGTCAGTTCTTCGAGCGATGTGCCCAGCCCACTGCCACTTCAGCTTGCCAATACGATGGGCTATGTCAGTGACTTTAGTTTTTCTACGGATCTCCTCATTCCTTAAATCGATCACGCAGGGTAACGACTTGGCCCCTTACGCAGCATAACACTTTAGTTTTAAGGCACTGAGGTATACGGGATGAAAAGACTTTGTCTAGTTTCCCGAACGCTGCCCAGCCGAGTCGGATTCGACGATTGACCTCTTTCTCGAAGTTGGATCTACCTAATTGTTTAACATCTGGCTGCCTGGAAGAGAACATTGTTTAGCAATAAGGCCGAGTTTTAATTATAAGCTAGTACATAAGTCTTTATTCTTGTCAACCATTCCTGTGGTGTTTATAATTAATATAAATTAATAATATATTTCGAGTTTTAAACCATTTAATCGTTTTTATTCAAAGCAATGATATTAGTTTTTAATAACATAACAGAAAAACATTTTAAGATAAACAAATGTACATAAATGGTATAGTTTGGTATCTAGAAATTTCTGAAGCATCTAATTTTAGAAGTTCTGAGATTAAACAACTAGAAATTCAATTTACTTGTTCAACCACCTGGTTAGATAATCCTGCTCTCGGTATTGTGGTACACATAGTGTTTTTCAGCCAATTATCTGCTGAAAATCGCTATAAACATTTATTTATTACTCGTTGACCAGGCAAACGTTTTTTTTAAATAAGGTAGGCTTTTGTCATTTAAAGTATTTTGACAAAATAAGATTAAAACGCCATTAAACGGTTCTTTTGAGTTAACGTTTTTCAAAAACAATTTTTTATACACATTTCGGCTACCTTGAACTGTTTTCGCAGCGCAAAAGCAACGGAATAGCAAATATAAAACTTAAAAAAACGGAAAAAAAATATTTTCCCCCCCTTTTTCCCCCCCTTCCCCCCCTTTTTTAACTTTCTCCTCATAATCAATTTATTACAAAATATAAACAACTTACAATTATAAAATAAAAAATGCAAAGCATCCGAAACGTCGGGCCGAAGTTAAAAATCATTTTCAAATAAGTGTAACTAATATATCGCGTTTTAAACCGTTAACGCGTTTTATTTTTTATTTTTAATGTGTACTACTCGCGTAAACTATAGACAGTATGTATTCTTTGTTATTTACCCCCCAATACTAAAATGACGACACAGGTAAAAAAATGCGGCCTTTTGTCCTGGATGACTGCTTTATTTTGTTTTATTATGAGTTGTTTTTACGAGTTATTTCAATGTACATATCTCATGTAAATAAGTTATAAATGTGTGATTGAGTTTAGTTTAGTAGTTCTGAATATCCGAAGCCAATAATGGCTCGACAGCGCACCTTGTTGAGTTGTTTTAAGGCTGAGCTATTACACCTTTTATCGAGTTCACACCATACTTTTTTCTATCATATAAATGTATCTCAATTGACGTATACGCTTTTCAAAACTACCCACAATTCATCGTGAAAGAAATTTGCGCTCAGTGTACCTCCCACCGTGTCCAGAGCACGCAAGCCGCATCGCTGAGGTTTTAATCAAATTCAAGATCAACTCCAATTTTGTACAGCTTCTATGCAAATGAGCTGTTGTTCAGTTGTTTACTGAATATTTCAAATGCCTTTCCATACGGCTATTACCAGAGTAGATTATTATTGTGAAGCAGTAGCGTTGGGTGGTAGGTTGCTATTTACTCCCCCTTCCGCCCCTTAAATTAGACGATAAAAAAAACAATGATTTGAGTTGTTAATAATCAGCTTGTTTGTTTGAAGACTAACTATGATTTATAATATATGTGACGGCGCATCGCCGTTTAAGAGTGTCAAGAAACGTCAACTGTCACCCGACATTTGACAATGTCACTTTGACGAGGTGCCGTTGACGTTTACGTCACTCTGATACAACTCCGGGCTCTTTTGTGTGTGATTAGGCAATAGGAAGAATCCGTTGACATCTCGCGAAAAACAAGGCGTGCCCGGTGGAGTGTCATTACTAATTAAAATAACCATAGTGTAGATTATAATAGTGTCCATCTTTTGTTAATATCAATATAAGAACAGTCGATTTTAAAAAGTAGTTTTAGTTCTTCTCGCTCGCCTACCCAATCGCTCGGCAACCATCAGTTAAAGTGTTTTATTTAAATGTGTACTACTCGCGTAAACTGTGAGTCATGAATTTTTAGTGAAATAGTTGATTCCCATCAGGGCTTTCAAACAAAGCACGATCCCGAATTGAAGTAAAATGTTTGTTTTTCTTTCATAGTGTTCCTAACTTCATTATCAAGTCATATACGTCCCAGTTCTGTATGAAGTGAGTCCCAAATGGAAATAATGTAAGTTACAACCAACAATCAGTGAGATACTGACCATGTTTGCGTTAGAGTTCTATAAACAATGCTGTGTTTTGGAATTTAATTGAAGTGTAAAGGTTTAGTAAATTGTTCGAAGAAAACTTGTTTTTTGCACGTTTGAAAATATTAATATTTTTCACATGTTATTGCACATGAGTGCACTATATTTAAAAATCTATTTAGATTAAATAAAATTTTTACCCGGGCGGGGCTTGAAACGGCATCCACAACATCGTGCTGTTGCTCAAACCAATGTAACTACCAAAGCCATCGAATTTTTCCAACGTTAATACGCAATTGCTTTAAATTTAATTTGATTTTTATTATACGGACAGACAAGCAGTTTTCATTTGATGAAAAGTGACACACCTGAATAAAAAAACAACAAGAAACAAAAGAAAGTTATGACAAAACAATTAAGTATTGTGTGTAGTTTACCCTAGTGGTAAAGTTTTAAATAAAATCGTTTTAACCGCTTAAAATGTGATATATAAATAAAAAATCTAAGTTAAGTTTAGGATGAGATCGCATTGTTGAATAAATTCTACGGTTGCTCAAAACGATCGCAGCAGCCCAGAACGCTGTCCGTTCAAGTCGCGCCCGCGTCATATTTTTCTATTCAATATAAATAGATTTCTGTTTATATAGTCTGTATTGGGCAATTTAACTTAAAAACAGATTTACATACGTAAAAAACTATTCTACAAAGTGGCTGGAGCAGCTATAAAAAAATCAGCTCCGTGAAATAAGACCGAAAAATAAGTAACATTTTTCAGGCGCCAATGCATTTAATGACGTCGAAACAACTCAGAAAAATTTAAACTCGCCGGAAAGTTGGCAAGTACCAATCTGCAGAATCTAGAATGTTCTTGAGGTGGTATAAATTTATTCATGATATAATCTAACCGGTAGTACCGCAAGAGTCCGTTTATATCGCACGATCCGATTTGAATGTTATTCCAAATTTATTTCATTTTTATCAACTCAAAATACCTTGTTCAAACTTCATAAATATACGTAAATACTAGCATCTTCGTCTGCGTAGAATAGTTATTTTGGGCATCCAAATCAATTTTTGCAAACTTCCTCTTCATCTTTGTAAAGTTAAACTGTTATC